CCCTAATTCTTGGGGACTTTCTAAAAGTTTAGATACAAAAGTAAAATTTACAACCTGTCACACAAAGGCTAACATAACACTTGGTTGCTATAATGCTACTACCCCTAATAGCTCTAGGAATTGTTGGTTATAGACCACCTTAGAGCGCTCAACTAAATCTGTCTTTCCAAATGTTGGAGAAAAATGAGCTTTGTACATTCCTTGAACGCTAACAGATCAGTCTTCTACAAATTAAGCTTCAGTCAGCTAGTCCTTATGCAAATCTCAGACTTGGAATGAATGACTCACTATTTGTACATTGCACCAGTTGGATCAGACATGAATGCAACAGGGAGAAAGGACAGCTCAGCATATTAAAGACCCAGTGATCCAGGTCTCCTTGTTAAACCTCTTAGCAGTGTTGTATACACAATACTATTAAGAACCTCCAGTATACAAAGATCCCTCATGGTAAATGACTCATGAGCAATTTCTCATAGTTTATACTTGGACTCTTTCCAAAAGAAAGCCATGGCACCATTCTGCACCTGTGTTGGAGGGACCCCTTCCCCCGCCAAATATTTGCGTCTGCAATATCAAAGGTTGCTAATGGACATTAAACATAGTATAGCTACCTTATGCTTCTCCATTGCTAAGAGAAGATAATTGATCAATGCTACTATCAAAGAAGAGCTCTGTGCAGCTCAAAAGAAGTTGGCCCAATAGAAGATCATGCCCTGTATCTTCAATGCCACCAGCACAGTTGACATCTCTTATAGGGTAAAACACTAAACTCTTTGGAGTCAAGAATTCTGTGGGTATTGCAAATATCAAGTTCATAGCTGTTTGAATACAAGGATGAAAGGAGGGTGACCAGCAGTGTTATGAAAAATCAATAGCAAGATATGAAATGTAGATTGTTGCGTAATTTAGGAAGCTGTATGATGCTTAGATAGCAGATCAAAACTTCGAGTTGTGATTTGAATAAAGCATTAAGATTATATTGCAAGATGGTACTAGAAGCTATTCTATTTTCACATTAAAGTATCTGAGAATATTGCCTTGTTACAGAGATTACCTGAAGGTATATTTTATAAAGAGAAGAGTTGCCAACTTGCATATACATCAGTGGGTGAATATTTTTGTTTACCAGCAGCTAGCACAGAGAACACACATGGTTATATAATCTAGTATTTAGCCTATGAGTATCCATGAACATTATAAATATTTTGCAGATCTCTTATTAACTTAATGTTCTGTCTTCATTATTAAAATGCAGAGTTAAATTCAAATATAAAGGCATACTTCAACCTTAAATCATATTAGAAGCATAATTTTTAGGTGATGATTCTTGGGATACTCAGGACTGAGGGCCACTTTGTTACCTTCTTCCAGAATGAGGGCATCTTGCTTGTGCTTAAGTGGGTGTTATCTCCCAGACACCAACCTGTTAGCCATCCAAGCATTCTCCTGAGATTTTTTTTCTATCCTTACTTTGCCTTGTGGGTTCACACATTAAGTTTATTATTAAAGTATGAATTTAAGTGATACAAATCAAGAGAAAGACCGGTATAGTTACAAATCAAACACATTTTCTGGTGACTAAAGCTTAGTGTTAGCAAGTGACAATCTTGGCCTCAGGGATTTTTCTCACTTACATAAAGTTACCATCATCTCCTGCCTTCCTGGTGAAAGGATCCATCTTTCACAGAATCTGATAATTCTGTCCCCTATGTTCTCTAGGTGATAGATAGCTAAAATGTTCTTTTGCTTTCCTTACATTTCCTAAAGTCAATTGTGTCTGCTTCAAGAGTCAGGAAGGCTTCTTAGGGTGCAGACTGACCTCCAGTGTGCACACATAAAACTAAACTATTTCCTACATTAGCTTGATGGCTTTGTTTACCTTCTATATAAAAAAGGTACTTTCTTTGTTCTCTGTCTGCAATTAAGCCAGTCAGACTAGAAAATCTACGTTCCTTTCTCTAGGGCAGACTTGATTTAAGCACTGTCTTCAAAACAATTTTTAAGAACACATTTCCAGCATGCATGCTCAACAGCACGTACACCATTCAACCATACATCACCAGATGATATTTGGGACCAGCTTGTAGCCTTACAAGGTAGATTTTGGATACTGTAACAGTGTCAGCACTCAACTCATGCGAGCGCCCCAGCTTGGCCAAGTGCAGGTTCCTGCAGTGCCTCAGTTTTAAAAGACTTGCAGCTACTCTGCCCTCCAAGTCTCACTTTGTGAGATCACAAACCCCTTCTGGGGTACACCTCTAAAAGAGGCCCATCTTGCTGCCCTCTGTAGAGTTTGTCTCAGTTCAATGCCATTGGCCTTAGTTTGTAGCTTCACTCTGAACCAGAGTGGTGTCTCCAGG